CCACCCCCCACCCTCCCTCTCCTCTGTCCATCCATCCATCCAGCGTCCCTGCATCAGCTGTTCAGCCGTGTCGACGTCAGCAACGACGGCCATCTCACCCAGGAGGAGTTCCGCGAGGCCCTCAAGGACGGGCTCATCCGCCGTCGGCTGCACCAGCTGCACCTGCCTGCCGACGAGGTCGAGCAGCTCTTCCACATGCTCGACAGGGACGGCGACGGCATGCTGTCGGTGAGCGAGTTCGTGGGCGGCATCCTGAAGGTCAAAAGGGACGTTCGGACCAAGGACGCCATCCACACCTTTGTCATGGTACGCAGAGACAGACACATAGAGGGAGGGAGGAGAGACGGGGAGAGAGAGAGAGAGAGAGAGAGACCGAGTGTGTGCCTGTCTGCAGGCCCGGAGCGCGTTGAAGCGGCTGACCAAGGTGACGGAGACCTTTGACGCGTTCATGCAGGGAATTGACAGCCTGGAGGCCGCCATCTCGGGCGCAAACCCATACACCAGGTACGCAGCGGACACACGCCCTCCACTCTCACCCCGTCCCCCTTCCTCTCCGTGTGCAGGCAGCGGTCCTTCACACGCTTCCGGGGCCGCTCTACTCTCGGCGACCGCCAGGGCTCCCAGACGCGCGTCACACCGTCCGAGAGGAACAACCACCCCTCAGCCCCATCGCCGAGAAGAGACGGTGCAGACAACTCTGAAAATGACCGTGACGACCTGGCAGCAGGGAGCAAGGTGGGGGCCTCCCACGCCCACATTGAGGCACTGGGGTTCTCGCCTCCGATTGTCAGCCTCCCCGGGTCGCTGGTGCATCCCACCCCCACCATGACGACGCAACAAAGGCCACAGCCACAGCGAGAACAACAACAACAGCAGCAGCAGCAGCAGCATACAGCGAGTGTTGCATCGGTGGGGAGGGGGTCTGTCCCGCAGGACAACGGGCTGTATGCTGGTGGTGGTGGTGGTGTGAGTAGGGCGCCCCGGTTGGGTAGCTGGGGCGGCAGGCTGACTGGCAGACAGTGAGTAGCACACCGAGACAGCGGTTTCCGTCCAGTAGTGGCTGCGTGCGACCCGCGTTTGTCGTGCATCTGTGTGTGTGTGTGTCTGTCTGTGATCCGTGTGGCAAGGGCGGGGCGTTTGCTGCATGTTTGTATGTGTCTTTACTACCCTCCCTGTTTATAATATGTCACTGACTACACTGTACTTTTCATCAGTGTATTTATTTGTTTGCTCGTTGTGGACCACATGCAGTGAGTGAATGCAGTGAATTCATGCAGCCGTCCGTGAGGCGTTCAGTCCAATCCGCTGTATGTGTGTGTCTTCTGTCTGTCTGTCTGTCTATTCGGCCGCGTGTCTGTCGGCATGGCGATGTCATTCATGGCCAGGAAGGAAACAAGGGATGAATGACCGTGAGAGACATCCCATGGACAGACCGCCGAAAGGCAAACCAAGCAGACCAGAAACGGAAGTCATACGCAATGGCGAACGAGTCTGATTGATGGCATGGATTCATTCATTCACTGCTGGACGCACCGCTTGAGCGTCTCGACTACATGGGCCATCGGGGGGCGCTGGTCGCCGTCAACCGACCTGACAGAGAGACACAGACACAGACATACACACCACACATGTGCAAGCAAGTAGAGTAGATAGGGAGTGGGGGCAGTGCAATACACACACATCCACCGCTTTGCAACTTTACCAGCACTCGTGCAGCAGCTGCCGGATGTCAGGCGGACAGCCTGATTTGATTGAAGATACACACATCCGCACCCCACACGACCCGCACAGGAAATGTGTGTGTGTGTGTGTGTGTGCTGGCTCCCCGCCCTCCCCCCACCCCCGAAACCCACCTGCTGAAGGCACGTGCAGCGGCGCCCCCGACTCGACCTTGGGCCTTATCAGCAGGGCGTCCAGCCCATCAAACGGCACCTCGAGCGTCAACAACTGAACCAACCATCGAGGAAAAAAGGACCGACACCAACGCCCCCATGCCATGTGTCGCATGGCATGACATCCACACGATTGATCACACAATGGATGGATGGATGGATGCCATGGATGCCATGCCGCGCGTGCCGTACCTCCCACAGCAGGACGGCGAAGGCGAAGACGTCGACCTTCTCGGTGTAGTGTCCCTGTCTAAACAGCTCGGGGGCCATGTAGGCTGGCGTGCCGGCGTGCTGCAGACGGCCCGTGTTGAGCGTCGACTGATACAACACACACACACAGACAGACAGACAGGCACACATAGAGAGAGGAGTGCTCATGTAATGAATGGATCGGCGGGCGTGTGTGCGTGTGTGTGACCTTCAGTCTGGCTAGCCCAAAGTCGCAGAGCTTGGCGTGAAAGTCTGCGCAAAGGCACACAGGGGGGAGAGATCCAATGGACAAATGGCATGTTCCGGACTTAGTTACCCTGGGTCAGCAGCACGTTGAAGCTCTTGACGTCCCTGAGATGAGAGTGACCCACACAACAGCACGACACACACCAGTGCATCATCCCAGCCAGCCGTCCGTCTGTCTGTCTCCCTTGGTGGACTGACTTGTGGACGACCCCTCTGTGGTGCAGGTAGGCCAGGGCGGATGCCACCTCCAACGCCACGCGCAGACGGACACTCACCTCACGCAACGCAGGATGCCTGCGGGCGGGGCGGGGAGTGACGGGGGGACGGGGGGCGAGAGAGAGAGAGAGGGAGAATGTACTTGGCCGACTCTCACCCTCACTCTCTCTCCTCTCTCTCTCTCTCTCTCTCGTGAGTGTGTGTGTGTCAATGTGTACCAACCGATTTGTGTGTATGGCGTCGTAGAGCGATCCCGCCTCGACGAGCTCCATGACTAGACCCACCGTGGGGGACTGCAAACACGACGCCTGCAGCCACAAATGCATCCACGCATACCATCTATGGCTGGCTGGCTGGCTGGCTGGCTGCGCACCCTACCATCAGCTGCACGATGTGCGGGTGCCGGACGCGGCTCAACACATCCACCTCTGTCGTCTGTACACAAAACCCCCCACACACACGTGTGTGTTTGCGTGTGTATGTGTGTGTGTGTGTGTGTGTGGCCATTCGCCCCACCCCCACCAGTTCGTCTCGGACGTCCTGGGATCCGCTGGGGTCGAATATCTTCTTTACTGCTACCCTCGCACCCATCCACTCGCCCTCGTGGACAGTGCTAAACGCACCCTGAGCCACCACCTGATACGCACAATCGTCCGGGTCTTTCTGCTCATTGTGCCAGCCGTGTTGTACTCACTTTGCCCAGGGTGACCTCGGAAAAGGTGAAGGAGGAAATGCCCCCCTGTGTGTTCGCAAACATCGATTGTCCTCTGTGTGTTCGTCTGGGGTGCTGAGGTATGTATTGTGTGCTATACCGACCAAGCCTGATGTGTCCTGCTCCCGGAGACGCTCCGTCAGCCGCTTTATCTCTGCTTGCAATAGGGATGCGTCCATACGATCAACACGCCCCCGCCCATTACCTACCCTGTGTGAGGCGCTTGTTCTTCCGCCGCTCGTCCTGACCAACAACACCCACACATCCATCAGATGACGACCATCACCACGCATGTGCCCTCCCTCCTGTCCACCGACGGTACCTCGAGCTGCTGCTCCAGCTCCTTCATCCGCGGCGACTCGTCCATCACCAGCCCACCACCTACACCAACACGGCCGCCAAGCTGCTTGCCTCTATCGCCGCCACTGTTGCTGGTGGTCGCGCCGTCTCCTCCCGCTGGGGGTGTGGATTGCAGCCATAGGGGGGGTGGGGAGGAGGTGGGCGGCTGGTGGTGGTGCTGCTGGTGGTGGTGGAGGGACGGCTGCAGGGGGCTCGAACGATCGATGTCAATGCGATCGTCCACCATGAGGCCCAGCGGCTTAGAGTCTGCCACGGGGCGCGCCCGCCGACCCCCCTGAAGACACCACACCACAGCGGCACACAAATGCATCCATCCATGCCATGCATCTGAGAGATTCAGATGCATAGATGCATTCCAGCCAGCACACATTCGCCCACCCACCCACACCACTCACCGGGGCGGACATGGGCGGCACAGGTCTTGAGGCGGGCAGCGGCAACTCCACCAGCTCTTCTACTGTATCGCTATCGACAACGGTGCTATAGCCCAGCTGGGTCAGCAGCTGCTGTGAGGCATCGTCCAGCGGATTGCCGCGGGCCGACACACGCTGCAGACACGGCAGCGGCCTCAACTGCATTGATTGACACATTCGTCACAAGCAAAGAAGTAGGGGTGCAGTGTATCCGGTGTGCACCGCATCGATGACATACCAGGGGCTCATCCAGGTGTGTGAGCTGGTTGTCGTCGACCAGCAGGACCTTCAGCCCGCTCAGCTGCGCCAGACGACCATCCAAACTGTGCAGCTGATGGGACGGCAGCACGCCGGCATATCGAAGGGGAGAAACGCGATTCTTCACCAATCAAATGTGTGACCTACCTTGTTGCCGGATAAGTTGAGGTGTGTGAGACCGCCAAGGCGAAATAGCTCATCCGGGAGCGCCTCAAGACCTGGGGTGCACAGAGATGCTATCTTTGTGGCCTTCCAGGGCTGATTTCTCACCTTTGTTGCTGAGATCTAGTGAAGGGTCACCACATCTACGGGCACGACGGATGGTTAAGGCTACGGAATCCATGAAAGAAAGACTGCGAGCTTCGAGATGTTGAGCGATTGAATTCATCGCATACGTCATTGTTTTACGTATACACGATGTCCTCCCTCTGCACTGCATCGTTCTGGAGCTGCATGCACTGCACGTGTGAATCATACGAGTGCTAAAGCTTTGTGCAGCAAGGCGTATTGTATACATGTGTACAGTTCGTTAGTACGGCGTGTCTGTCTGTCCGTCCAGAGGGTGTCGGTACGTACGGCGATGTCATTCATGGCGAGCCAGGAATGCATGGCATGACCATGACATGGCCGTTCCATCCAACACCGATCAAACAGACCAGAAGATCACTCACATCGCGATAGAAGGTCCATCGACAGTATCACCTGCCCTCCCCTCTTCCCTCCGTGTCTTTCTCTCTCGCCCCACCCCCTCCCTCCCCTCCCCCCTCTCATGCCAGCCATTATTCTACACGCACCCACTCACTGATGTTATGTAATGACTGAGCTCCAGCTAGATAAGATAGATAGACACCACCTTGCCTTGCTTTGCTTACACACGCACCGCACGCGGTAGGCCTGGCACACGCCACACACACTGCGTGCGGTGCGTCACACACACTCTTACCCACACCACACCACACCACACCACACACAGGCCGAAGGAGAAAAATGAATTATGAGAACCAACCAACGCACACCTAATGTATGCGGGTACACGGGCGTTGTACACGTGTGGGGGTGGGTAGTCAGTCAATTGGGTTGCTCGCTCGCTGTGAATTCAACAAAACTATGCCCCCGCTCGCTTTGCACACGCACGCAATCAATGGGACCCAGGCAGGCACACACACAGCCAAGACAAATGCGAAAAAGAGTGGTCGATCAGACTGTCTGTGGAATGGAATGGAATGACTAAGTGAATGTTATGTATGTGCGAAATGAGTGGGGGCAGCCCAGCCCAGTATTCAACGAAAAAGGGAAAATGGAATGGATATGTGAGTGGAATGAAGGAATGAACAATGAGTGTGTGTGTGTCTATGTGACACATACACACATACACACATACACACGTACAGACAGCCAACGCACCACAACACAAGGCAGCGCAAAACATGGCAGGCAGGCAGGCAGCAAAAGAGCCATGGCAGTGCAGAGACAGACAGGATGTGTATGTGTGCAGGCACAGCCACAGCAGGCAATTGTATGCTATGCTATGGTATGGTATCGAGCAGCAGATGGGCCACGGTTGGATGGATGGATTGGATGGTTCAGAGCAGCGCAGGTCATCTTATACCAGGTTATACAGTTACATATCAGTTACATATCTATGCAGCCAGTTCCCTCCCTCCCTTCCTCCCCCCCTCTCGAGTCGATGGATCTTCAACACACGCAATGCAGTGCAATGCATAGCCACACGCACCAGTCATTGTGTTGGGCAAACAAACAGACGGACAAACAGACAGACAGACAGACAGACGGACAGGCAGGCAGGCAGTAACTTGGACTCACCTCCCTCGCCCGCTCTCTCTTGTCGCGTCATTCAGGCACCATTAGATGGTTGAGCAAAGTAAGCAAGTGTCCAGTGAGTGAACCCAACACACACGGCCCCGGAAAATTCACTCTCCTCCTCATCTGAGCAGGTGCAGTAGGTGAGTGAGTGACAGACGAGAACAATGCGCCGCGTGCCCTTCTCTGTCTGTCTGTCTGTCTGTGTCCGTCGGTGAATCGTCCATCCATCCAGCCAGCCAGCCATTCGTCTTTCTGACGGCTGCCGTGTCTTGTGTTGCTTTAACCAAACCACAGTCAGTCAGTCAGTCAGTCGACTACACACTCGCTCATCTCTCACTCAGTCCTTGAACTGCCTCTCGGTCCCTCCCTCCCTGCCTGCCGCTGTACACCTCCCTCTCCCTTGTGAGCGCTAGCTACCCATCCGACCACTAGAGCACTCCATGAATGAGTGAATGAATGAATGAATGAAGGAAGCAATGAAGAATGAAGGCATGCCTGCCTGCCTGCAGAAGGCACGGATGAAACCGCCCCACCTCCTTCGTTTCGCATGTGTGGGGTGGGTGGGTGGTGTGCCATGCCAGCCACCCAGCCCAGCCCAGCCCGAGCCTCAGCTGCAGGCAGAGGAGGCGAAAAATTCATATATGCTGCCCCAGGGATGGATGGATGGATGGATGGCCAACCGTCCGTCCCTGTGTGTCCGCCATGTATGGGTCCACCATGACATGATAGTATGTGAGATTCGCACACATCACATTGACATGTAAGTGAGTGACTCTAACTCTCCCAGGCACCCGCCAGCCCCCCAGTTGGGACACACACACACACTCATGCGCACACAAAGACAAAGACAAAGATGCCCACAACGAAAATCGAAAAGGGCTCCCATCCTCTCTCCCTCCCTCCCTCCCCCCCCCCCCCGCCCCCC